GACTGTACTTCATCAAGAACTGGTACTTTAGGGAGAGTCTACCACTCCTTATTTAATATGGATAAATCCCAAAATCAGTCTATCGTTTGTTAGGTGGTGTGAAATACCAGCGGAGTATTTTTCTAGAGAAATCTAGTAATGGTCATAGTAATAATAGCGACAATAGCTAATAGTCATAACGAGTTTGATTGTTTGTTATTGACGATACTGATAATATTTATGAAAATGATGATGGGTATGGGAATGGTAGTGAGAGTAATAATTGTAATGATGTGATGATTCAATGATGATGATGATAATCATCATCATAATCATCAATCCATCACCATCATCATCATCATCAATAATGATCATCATCATCATCATCATCATCATCATCATCATCATCATCATCATCATCATCATCATCATCATCATCAGATACTACTACCACTACCCCTAATCATAACAATACCAACAACAGTATCAACAAAAAAAACACGTAAAAAAAAAAAAACGACAAGAACAACAAAATTAACAACAGCAAGCAAACCGACCGACTCCCACCAGACCAACAACCCAACACCGACAAGAACAAGAGATCTCACCAGAACACCAATGCTCGCAGGAGAGTTAGCATAGACCAGCCCCGCAGCATTGCCTGTCTCCAGCACCACGACCTGCCCTCCTTCAGCATAGGGAGGGGAGGCTGTGAACAGGTGTAGCGTGAAGCAGACTGGAAGAGAGAAAATGAATCAGATTTTGTGAATTTATTAATATATATTACATCTATTATGTATAATATATGTTATTAATCAAATATATTTATCTACGGTTCAGGATTAAGGTCTAATAGGGTTGTATTTCGGCTGGCAGAAAAAAAATTACAACACGGATGAAAATAATGTGATGAATTTTGATTCAGCATGAATTAAAAAATTGATTTACCGTGAACAAATCAATCAGTATATCATAAACAAACTCATGACTATAATGTAAGCAAATACTACAGTATATGATCCGAAAAAATAATAATATAGAAGCATATGAATATAGCATATACAAATCAGGTATTTAAACGTATTCAGTGTAATGTAATTTAACATGATAAGCCTAGGTGTAACTCACCGAGATATAGGTGCACGTTTTACTTTATTTATTAATTTATATATTGGTGTAAAACTAATCTTTTTTTATCTAATACAAGCAAAATAATAATCATTATAATCTTAAAGTCCCTTCCCTTTGCAAAACTACGCTTTTCTTTTCTTCTATGCTCATTCTGCAAACAAACTTTTACAAAGGACACATCACACAGTAGACATTGATGTGTACCTTTCAACCCATAGAATATAAAAGCAAAATAATAATAAAGAAGGGACATATCGATATAACTTCAAAATAAATAAGTCCATAAAACGTATTCAAACTTTTTAACACATTGCTCATTTCATTCCCTCAACAGTCTAAAACAGTAGAATCCCAGCCTTAATACTAACCTGATCACAGTTTTATTAATCTTGCCGCAAACGTGCTCTTTAACATCGCCATATAACGAATGATAATTATGCTATATTCTACTCCAGTTTCAGCCTAGATAAAGTTTACGTTACTTTAAGTACTTAAACATTTAAAGTCGTTTTGTGGTGCTTTAGTTATCATTAGGGTGATGTAGACAGCGTGATAGCCATACTGATCAACATCAGGGCCCATATAAGGTAGCAGCCATATTATATATTGCTAATAATACAGTTTGCTGAAATTACAGGCTGATGTCACAAGAACCCTCTGTGAGTTTTGTATGAAATTAGCAAGAAGTGAAGAAAAGGAGTATTACGCATAGTTTGTCCCATGTTACCTTCTATTTTAACGATAATGAAAAATGCAATATATATCTACTTGGGAGACTGGTAGGCCTACCTATAGCGCTTCATATTTCAGGAAATGGGAAAAACTGGCAACTTCACCAGACTGGAGCACTCCGATTTGTCTTTCTGTTTCTCTCTCTCTCTCTTTCTTTCTGCCTCTCTCTCTCTCTCTCTCTCTCTCTCTCTCTCTCTCTCTCTCTCTCTCTCTCTCTGCCTCTCTCTCTCTTCTGCCTCTCTCTCTCTCTTTCTGCCTCTCTCTCTCTCTCTCTCTCTCTGCCTCTCTCTCTCTCTCTTCTCTCTCTCTCCTCTCTCTCTCTCTCTCTCTCTCTTTCTCTCTCTCTCTCTCTCTCCTCTCTCTCTCTCTTTCTGCCTCTCTCTCTCTCTTTCTGCCTCTCTCTCTCTCTCTCTCTCTCTCTGCCTCTCTCTCTCTCTTTCTGCCTCTCTCTCTCTCTTTCTGCCTCTCTCTCTCTCTCCCACTTTATCAGCTGACACTGGCTCGAATTGCATTCAGTACTTGTATTAATATACACCACTTATATTAACGAGTGAGAACTGCAGTCTATGGTGAAATTGAGAATGGGAATTCTACCGGAAGAGAAAGGACAAAATATGATAATAAAACGAGTGTGAAGCATAACAGGAGACGGAGGATACTGAACTGATAATGAATGATAATGGAAGATAAAGAACAAAAGAATGGCTGTGTGAAGCATAATCGAAGACAGCGGGATAAGCAGTGAGAGGCACAGAAAATAAGGAGAGAGTGTGAGAACGAAGCATGAAGCACAGAAATAAAAGAGAATGTGATAACTGAGCAAATGAAACACATAAATAAAGAGAAAGTAATAACAGAGTATGAAGCACAGAAATAAATGGAGAGTGTGATAACGAAGTATGAAGCACAGGAATAAAGAAAGAGTGTGATAACGAGCAGAAAGAGAAAAAAAAGAATGCGAGCAGGAGATACTAAGAAAGAAGCACAGAAATAAAGAGATACGACACACATGATAACGAAGTATGAAACAGAAATAAAGAGAATGTGATAACAGAATGAGGGCTTGATGAAAAATGCGAAGATCAGATAATTGTAAAGGATATTAGAAGAAAGATGATAAAATAGAGCGTGATGCATTTAGGTTACAAGACAAAGTCAATGGAATATGAAGCATACTGAAAGTTGTGGGTTTATAAGTCAACTAATATACAATGATTTTTAGAAATAGTATTAACCTGGTTTTTTCTCTTCCCTCTCTCTCTCTTTTTCTTCTTCGTTTGTCACTTACATATCTATCTTCATTACCCTTTTGTTTTCTTCCTGATTCTTTGTCCATTTCTTCATTCCTCCTTATGTTTATCCTTTCTTCCTTTTTTTATTTTCTCTCTGTTTCCCTTTTCCTATCTATCTACCCATTTTAGATTTTTTTTCTTCTTAATTCCATGTTCTTTTGTTTCTGTTTTGTTTTTAATCTTCGTTGTCTCATCTCCCCAATTCCATTTGTATTGTATTAGTTATTTATTTTTTTATCTTCTCTCTCCTTCACTTTCGTCTTTTTAAATAGTTTCGTCTTCTTCTTCCTCTAAGCTATCTATCAATAGATAAATAAAAAATATCTTTTAAGTCTCACACTTTTTTCTTATCATTATCTTATCTCCTTCCTCTCACCTGTATCTTTATCTTTTCTTTAATTCCAAAAAAAAAAACAGTTTCTTCTTCCTTCTCTTATCTCTTATCTCTATCTCCCACGCTCCTTATCTTACAAAAAAAAAATAGAAAATAAAAAATAAATAAATGAAATAAAAAAATAAAATAAAATCTCATCGTTTTTACTTTCCAATCTAGTCTAAAACCTAAACTTTTATTTCATTTTTTTTAAATCTTACTTTTTCTCTCTCTTCTCACACAATCTGATATAAAACAAATGAATATTTTGGTTCTCATCAATTTTTTATTCGTTTTACTTCACTTCTTCCTTTAATGTTTTATCTCACAAAAAGTTCTCACAGACTTATTTTTTATTTAATCTTTCTAACTTATTTTTTAGCTTTCCCTTATCCCGTCTAAAAAAATAACAATAGAAAATAAAGAATGAATAAATAAAAAGATAGAAAAATAAAAAAATCACCACCTTATTATATTTTATTTCATTCGTTTATCTACTTGTTGCATCTCACCATTCCCATTGAGAGAAAAAAAGAAAAAAAATATTGTTTTCACCAACCTACCATCTTTGATTTCATTAATTATCTTCTTTATTATATCTTATCTCTTATCTCCCACTTACCCGTTTCGTCATGTGCATCCGTCTCCCCTGTCCCTAAGTTCATGACCCCGTTTGACCTCGTGGTGACCTTGACATAGAGAGGAAGGTCATGTTTCAGTCTCAGCCTCATGACGTGTTCGCTATCATGCCTGACTCTGACTTCGGATTCCTTGACTGAATCCACTGTGGCTCCTTTTAGCGATGTAGGGGGGGGAGGAGAAAGGGAAAGGAGGGGGGTTAGTTATGTTGTATTTATGAAGGTTGTTCATGTTGTTTTTGGTTTGTGTAGCTGGTTTTGTGTTATTATTGTTGTTCTTTTTCTTACTATTAGTGTTACAATCACAGTTATTATAATTTTATCAGTTGCTATTTTTATTATCATCATCAATATTGTCGTTATCATTATGATCCTTCTTATCCTCAATATAATCATTCTAATAATCATCATTACTATTTACGCTATTACTATTATTAAATATTATTAGTATTTTCATCATATCTCTGGGTATAAAATCGGGCCACCTAAGGCATTTTTTTATGTGTGTGTGTGTGTGTGTGTGTGTGTGTGTGTGTGTGTGTGTGTGTGTGTGTGTGTGTGTGTGTGTGTGTGTGTGTGTGTGCGCGTGTGTGTGCGTGTGCGTGTCCGTGTCCGTGTCCGTGTCCGTGTGCGTGTGCGTGTGCGTGTCGTGTCGTGTGCGAGTGCGTTGCGTGTACGTGTGTGGCGTGTGCGTGTGTGTGCGTGTCCGTGTGCGTGTGTCCGTGTCCGTGTGCGTGTCCGTGTGCGAGTGCGTTTGCGTGTACGTGTGCGTCGTGTCCGTGTGCGTGTGTGTGAGCGTGTGCGTGTGCGTGTGCGTGCGTGTCCGTGCGCGTGTGCGTGTGCGTGTACGTGTACGTGTCGTGTGCGTGTGCGTGTGCGTGTGCGTGTGTGTGTGCGTGTACGTGTCCGTGCGCGTGCGCGTGTGCGTGTGCGTGTGTGTGCGTGTGCGTGTGCGTCCGTGTCCGTGTCCGTGTGCGTGTGCGTGAGTCCGTTACTCACTTTTACGTCTGACTCTGAGCGAGGCCTCGACGCGCTTACTGGTGGGCGCCTCGTCGGTGGAGCGAACCATCTTCCCGGCCCTGCGGTACTCCTGGGGGGGGGGGGGTAGAGAGATGAGAGAGGGATACTGCAATCGCTGATAAAGGATAACGATAAAGAGATTGGAATGATATGCTAATTGTGGAGGTGGGGTTAACGATAAATGAAAAAAATTGCTGAATGAAATATAAATATATAAAAATTGATTATTAAATCATGGAGGAGGGGATGATAAACAGATTATAAAAAGATAATGAGATTATGCAAGAAAGATAACGATAAAGAGATACGAAGGATAATCTAATCATGGATGAGCGAAAACGATGAAAAATAATAACTCAATCATAGATAAGTAATAAACAATAACGATAAACTTTCTTGTTTATCATTCACAACGACAATTTAGACACAATTTCATCATCACGATAATTCAGGCAGTGAAGGGAGACTAAGGATAAATCTAAAAATAAATAAATAAATAAAATAGATAAATAAATAAATAAATAAATAAATAAAATAAAAGCTAAAAGCAGCGGGCGGGGGGGGGGGGGGTAATTCGAGTACTAAAGGGAGGATTAGTATAAAGAGATATTTATCAAACACAAATACGAAGGGTTGATAACGATAAATAAAACACCGAACGCGAAATGACGATAAAAGATTATTTTTAATACGGAATAGTAATAAAGAAAAAATGTTATACAGAATAGTAATAAAAATTAAGTCTCTTAATCCTGCACATGTGATAAAGAAAAGTAATGATAAAAGGATGAAATGTAGCGCTCATTTTATTTTTTATTCTCATCATTAATATATTTTATTACTATCATTATATTATTATTATCATATTATCGAAGGAAGGGTGGGGGAGGGGGTAACGATCAGCAGCAACCCGAGGAGGTGCCATGGCGTCTGATTCTATTTGGGGAAAAAAAACACGTGGGGTTTATTTTGATGACGTCACAAAAGTTACGGATGCTTTGCGAATATGGTCGATCATTTTGGTCTCTTCAATTTTCAAAAAGGATGGAAAATAATGGTTTTAATGGTTATATTTTCATTGAACAATCATCAAAACAGACGCCACGACACCTCCTCGAGTTGCTACTGATCTAGCCTTTCCCGTAATAGCACTGTCAATTAGGTGAGGTTAAGGTCGTGCCTATTACCCTGAAATAACGTTTACATACGCATATGCTAAGTGTACGTACGCATATGAGAAATGGGACACGGCTGCCGTACGCATAAGACAAGTCTAAAAATAATGTACTAATAGGACACGGCTGCCGTACGCATATCTAGAAATAATGTATTACTTTTCTCTTTCCCAAAATCTTACCAGGCAGAATGGCACAAGCACCCCCGGGTCGTTTGCCAATTTCCCTCCTAACGCTGCTGCTGCTCCTCCTCCCCCTCCTCCTCCTCCTCCTCCTATTCTCCCTCTTCCTCTTCCTCCTTTCGTCGTGGGCGTGGGCGTGCAGGCGTCCGTAGAGGCAGTAGGTGAGGGCGGAGAGGTAACGTTATCGGCCAGGGTAAGGTTCCTGACGAAGTCGACGACGCTGCTGTGAGACCAGCCCTCCACGGAGACGTCGTTGAGGCGGACCAGTCTGTCTTGCGTCCTGGGGGGGGGGAGAAGGGGGAGAAGGGAGAGGGGGGAAAGGGAAGGAGGGGGGGGAAGGGAAGGGAGGGGGGAAAGGGGAAGGGGGGAAAGGGGAAGGAGGGGTGAAGGGGGAAGAGGGGTGAAGTGAGAGGATGGTGGAATGGGTAAAGGATGAAGGAGGAGGGGAAGGGGGGGAGGGGGGAGGGAAAGGGGGAGGAGGGGGAAAGGAAGGGGAGGAGGAAAAAGAATGATGATTAATGATGAAGTTTGATATAATGATGATGATAAAAAAACAACGGCCATAATGGTATTAACAATGGTAATGGTAACACTAACGATTATAAGTGACTATCTTGATAATCATCGTAATAACAATAATAATAAATGATAATAATAACAATAGGAATAAAAATTGTATTGGCAATCATAATGATAAAGACACTAGAACACTTGGATTAAAAAAAAAATGAAAAGTACAAAAAAAAATCATAAACAAAAATTTAATAAAAAAAATCAAATCCCTTTCACAAACTTACTTAATTTTGAGCATAGCCAGGGGTGAAACGGGGGACACCTTGTAGATAGAGTGGTCACCCATGGCCTGGTCGGTGGCCAAGAAAACGCCCAGGTTGATGTGGGAAGTCCTGACCGGGCCTTCGCTGGGGTCAAACAAGGTCAATTCCGTGACGAACTTGCCCGAGAGGTTCATCTGGAAAGGGGGGAGGGGGGTGTTAAGGGGTTAATTGGTAGAAATCGTTAATGGTTAATTGCCGTATGGGTATGGGCTATTTGCTGGTAATAATAGTTAGTATTCATGGTGATATGGATAATGATAAATCATGCTAAATAGTGTTCATTTTACTTATACAATATTTAATCATGTTGAGTAGTGTTCATTTTACATAAATCAGTGAAGGAAATGCTTGCAATAGGACGGCACCCCTCATAGACTTTAAAGGATTCTGTCGAAATCGCTTTTTTATGGGGATGTGCACGAATTCGCCAATAACAAGCATTTTGAAAAGTAAATCGAAGTAGAAAGTAGAAAAATCCGAACCAAAATTCGCTCGCGGGAGATTAGACGCGAACGAACCTTATCCAATACGCTAAAAAAAATACCACAAAGATCGCCATATGAACCAAAACCCTCTCCTAACCCCCTCCCAATCGCTGTAAAAAAAAAAAAAAAAAAAAAAAAAAAAAAAAAAAAAAAAAAAAAAAAAAAAAAAAAAAAAAAAAACTGGCCCCTTCCTAATCACTTCATTTCCTACACGACTGATTCGCCCATTACAATATTCTGTACATTTCAGATGCAAATTGGGTTAACCTTATGGGGAAAGGATGGGCGGTTGGGGAACACGGTTTTTGCACCTGGAACACGTTTATTGTACTTCGCTGAATATGACAACGCTTCCCACCACAAAATGACAGTGATCTTAATTCCTAATTCCTAATTCCCACTCAACAACACCTCACAGACACTTTCCGGACACCATCCCACTCGTAAGCGCCCGTCAGTACAGTGTATAATATGCGCTGTACTATATATTACAGGGGTTACAAGGGCTCTTCCACGTTGTAAAGGTTGGGAATCACTGGAATGTGGCGTTAACCCTGAGATCGTTACAGTTCCATCAAAGGTACACGCACTTTTTCCGTCATTTTTGGGTCAATATTTCATAAATTGTCAACTTTTTTGAGGCGCACAGTCACACGGTTTGAAAGAACGGCGATATCTTTGTATTTCTTTCCTTTTCAATTCATTCTTCGTATACCTGCCATCGCTGACATCCCAGAGGCAACGATTCTGACTACCACCGATGAGAAATTCCTCCGAACGGCGTGTCCAGAAAGGAAAAAACAAATCCATGACGATACCGAAACGGGAACGGCGCGACTGCTCTCACGGATGTAAACAATCTTGCGAGCGCTTAAAACAAATTTCATTAATTTCAGTAAATGATAAATTTCTTATTTATTAATCTATTGTTTTATTGAATATATATAGAATTTATTTTCATATTTTTTTCGTGTTACAATTAAGTTTATTTACTATAAATGCAAACATTCTCGAATATAGCTCTTGATTTGACTAATCTTGGCTGAAAAAGTTGCCGGAAAGGTTTTCAAAAGGAAACGATCATTAGCGTCTGACTGAAAAAATCGACAATTCTCTCGAAAATAGACACTATTTCAGAAAAATGTGAAAAATGACGGAAAAAGTGCTAGTGTGACAACAAACAAACTTCACTAAACGAGCACTGAACACTTTGACAACATAACCGTCAAATTTGCGAAAAGGTGGCTTGTGCATTCGCAACCTACAGATGTAAGAAGTATTTTTCATTGAAAATGTGAGTACAAAATAATATAAAACGCATGGGATAGTTGAGGAATCTAATTTTGATATTTATGGATTTCGGTATAATATGAGAGACATGACGTCACGAGCTGTATGACAATTTAACAGGCATTAAAAACACAAAAGTACTTCCAAAATACAGTATATGATAACTATTGGCTGTGACGTCACGAGCTGTATGACAATTTATTCGGGTGAAGTTGTTAGCTTCGAGGAGGGAGAGAGAGAGAGAGAGAGAGAGAGAGAGAGAGAGAGAGAGAGAGAGAGAGAGAGAGAGAGAGAGAGAGAGAGAGAGAGAGGAGAGAGAGAGAGGAGAGAGAGAGAGAGAGAGAGAGAGAGAGAGCGAATGAGAGCCAGAGAGAGAGAGAGAGACAGAGATGAGAGCCAGAGAGAGAGAGAGCGAATGAGAGCCAGCGCGCGAATGAGAGCCAGAGAGAGAGCAAGAGAGAGAAACAACCCTATCCCCCCTTTTCCCTCCCCCTCCCCCCCTTACCGTGTACCCCATGGCCCTCCCAGCCGTCCTGGAGGCCGTCCTCTTCGACTTGGGACTCGAACTCTGCTTATCCGAGGTGGTGGAGCAGACGGAGGAGGTGGAGGAGGAGCGTCTCAAGGAGGAACTGGAGGAGGAGGAGGCGGAGGCGAGACCAGGGCGCTCAAGAGGGAGCTGTTGACGGAGGCGTCGTCCACCTCCTTCTCCACCAGGCTGTTGGGGCGGTCGAGGATCACCACGCTGGACCGCCTCTCGTTCCCTTCGTCTGCGCCTCCTGCTGCGCCGCCGTCGGGAAGGTCGTGGGATTTCCTCCTGCAGGGAGATCGGGCATGAGGGGTTTCAGTGTTTTTTTCCTTTTCTTTCGTTTTTTTTTTTCTCTTTTTCCTTTCTCTCTATTTCTCTTTTTCTTTTGCGCTTTTCTCTCTCTCTCTCTTTCTCTTTCTCTTTCTCTTCTCTTCTCTTTCTCTTCTCTTTCTCTTTCTCTTTCTCTTCTCTTTCTCTCTCTCTCTCTCTCTCTCTCTCTCTCTCTCTCTCACTCTCTCTCTCTCTCTCTCTCTCTCTCTCTCTCTCTCTTCTCTCTCTCTCTCTCTCTCGTCTCTCTCTCTCTCTCTCTCTCTCTCTCTCTCTCTCTCTCGTCGTGAAATTACCACATCAATAAAATCCATATATAAAACCAACTAAAAATTTAACTGATAAATATCTCTTTCACAAAAATCATTTTCCTTAAATATTAATTTCCACCGAAGATAGGCCTACCTGTCTTCTTCCGGTCTTTGCCTCTCACGGACTGCGACCACTTCCACCTGAAAAAAGTATCATAGCTCTTTAATTAGATTCTTTTCCTCTCTTTTTATCTTATTTATTTATTCTTTTTTATCTTATTTTGGTTGTCTATGTTTTATGGTCCATGGTTATGGTGTTTTTCTTCTTCTCTATTTTTAACTTTATCTCAACTTAACTCTGTTTTTTCTCGGTGCTGCTTCTCTCTCTCTCTTTCTTTTTTTCTTCTCTCTCTCTCTTTCTTTCTCTCTCTCTGTTTCTTACTTCTTCTCTCTCTCACTCACACACACACACACACACACACACACACACACACACACACACACCACACACACACACACACACACACACACACATACACACGCACACTCATTATCTCCCTCTTTCCCTCCGTCCCTCTCTCCCCCTACCTCCCTCCCTCCCATTCCCTCCCTCCCCCCTACCCCTCCCATTCCCTCCCTTTTCCCTCCTTCCAACAAACAAACAAAAACCGAAACTCACCATGCCATCCTCCCCTATCTCCTCTTCGACCACATCCTCTTCAGTGATCGTGGCGACGTTGACAGCTGGGTGGTGCCGCGCCATCTTGGTTCGAGGGAGGCCAGTCCTGCTGGAGAGTTCCTTGGGGGTTTAAAAAGGTGGAAAATGAGTGGGGTGGAATATGAGGTGGGGGTGGACGGGGAGGATGGGTGGCGTGGAAAATGAGGTGGAGGAGGAGGAGGAGGAGGAGGGAGGATGGGGAGGAGGTGGAGGAGGGGAGGTGGAGAGAGGATGGATTGGGGTGGAAAACGAGGTGGAGGAGGAGGGAGGATGGGGAGGAGTGGGAGGGGTTGAGGAGGATGGGGGAGGAGAGGGAGGAGGAGGATGGGTGGGGAGGGGAGGTGGAGGAGGAGGATGGGTGGCTGGAGGGAGAAGGATGGGGAGGAGGAGAGGATGGGGAAGAGTGGAGGGAAGTAGGGATGGGGAGGAGGAAGAAGAGGGACAGAAGGAGCAGGAGGGCGAGAGGGTAGAGAAAGAGAAAATAGGGAAGGAGGAGAAGTTGGAGAGGAAGAAGGAGGTATAGAAGGAGGAGGAAGGGGAGATTAGAGAAGTAGGAGATGAAATATGGAAGAGGAGGATGTATAGAAGGAGGAAGGGGACGAGAGAGTAGGAAGGAAGGAAGGAGGAGGTTGAGATAGAAGAAGAGGAGGTTATATGAGAAAGGGAGGAGGTGGAGAAGATGAAGAGAAGGAGGTGAAGAGAAGAAGAAGAAGGAGGAGAGAGAAGAAATGGAGGAAAAGAAAGAGAAGGAGGAGGAGGAAGGTAGAGAAGGAGGGAGGAGAGAAAGATGGTAGAGAGGAGGAGAGAGAGAAAGCAGAGAAGAAGAGGAGAAAAGGATAAGGATATTCATAATGAATAATAACCATAATAACATAACTAATAAAAATAACTTGACAACTACAATGCTGACGATGTTGAGAAAAATAACAAATACAAAAAATAACAACACTCCAAAGATAATAATGAAAACGAAAATGATATTCATGATAATAACCAGAACAAGAACAAGAACATTCGGATTATAACTACCTAAAAAAATAACAAAAAGATAAGTTATTTTTCTTAACATAAGTATGGCATTTTAAGGACAAGAGACTGACATTTTATCTCGGACGTAATTCCCAAACAGCAACTCGTGCGTGAGTTGCTAAACACTAATTTTCCAACGAATTATTATCATATGTTCCAATATTATTATCATTCCTGTAAAAATAATAGCAATGGTAAAAATTATATTGATAATGGTGATTTATATAATGGTGAGGATGATAGTGATAGTGATAATGATAAGGATGATGATGATGATGAAAATTAATAATAATAATAATACTTATACCAATAATAATATTGATAATGATTTTAATAATAATATTAATGATATTTATGTGAATAATAACAACGATGATATAAAAAAGATGATAAAAATAATGGTAACAATAATGATAAGGATAATAATACTCACAATGATAATAACAAAAATGATGATGATAAATTTAATACTAGTAATCATCATGATTATTAATAATATTATCAATATCATTATTTTTCTATCATTATATTATCATTATTATTGTTATAATTATAATTGATATTACTAGTTTCATTATCATTATGGTTATTACTTCTTTACTAATGTTACTATTATTTTTTTTTGTTATCATTATCATCATTTATCATTATTCATTATATTATTATTATTATTATTATTATTATTATTATTATTATTATTATTATTATTATTATTATTATCATATTATCATTATTCATTATCATCATCATCATCATTATCATCATCATCATTATCATTATTATTAGCGTTATTATTATCATTTATGTAACATTATTAACATGAAAACAACAATAAACTAATAATATTAATAATTATTATAAAAAAATAATGATTATAATTATAATAATCATAAAAATAATAATGATAATAATCTAGGGAAATAAAGATAATAATAATAGCAATAATAGTGATAAACATAATAACAGTATTGATAATCTTGATAATAATGATAACAAAAATAACAATTAGAATAATAAAAGTAATAATCATGTTGATAATGGTGATCATAATAATGATAATGATAATAATAATGATGATAATATATACTACTAATAATGATAATAATGATAATGATAATAAGATAATAATGATAACGATGATAATAAAAGCAATAATGATAAAGATAACAACACTAATAATCAATAGCAATAACAGTTATAATCATAATTGTAATTACTATCATCAGCATTACCATTATCACTATTATCATTATCATTATCATCATTGTTTTTAGTATCATCATTAGCATTATTAACGTTACTTTTATTATTCTTATTACTATTATCATTGTCATTATTTTTGCTATTATTATAATTATCATCTCTATCATCATTTCATTTATTACTAATAAAGGTAATAGAAAATATATCATTATCATAATCATCATTATCATTACTACTATCACTGACCTAATTTCATCATTATTGCCATTAGCATGATTATTATCTTTAGTATTGTAATTACAATCATAATCATTATCATCATTACTGTTGTTGTTGTTATTAGTTATTATTATCATTATTATTATTATCATCATCATCATCATCATCATCATCATCATCATCATCATCATCATCATCATCATCATCATCATCATCATCATCATCATCATCATCATCATCATCATCATCATTAACATTCTTATTAGCATTATTCTATAATTGTCTCTATTTGCAGTAATAGTAGAATTAGTCGTAGTAGTAGTATTACTATCATTATTAACATTATCATCATAATTATTTTTGTCATTCTTTTTATCATTACGTATATTACTGATATTATCATTATTATTCTAGTCATAACTAGTTTTATAATGACACTAATTATCATATCATATCTTTTATTGCCATTACTTCTCTTATCATTACTAGAACTATGGTCATTATTATTGTTATCACCATCATTATCATCATTATCAGTTTTATTACCATTGTTATTTTTGTCATTTCGATTATCTTTATTATAATTTTTATCATTATCCTAAATATTGTTACTATCACCATCATCATCATTATTATTACTACCATTATTGCTGATGGCGCTTCTATTAGTCTCATCACCATTATCATCATTGTCACTATCATAGTTATCATTATTATCACAACTATACTTGATATCACCTTCATCTTTGTTATTGTTATTATCATTATCATTGTCACCATCATTCAATATTATATTATTACTCAATATTTTCATTATTACTGATGCTAAGAGCAGTACTTTTATTTTTTTATTATCATTATCATTATTATTATCACTATCATTCTGGATTATTGTTTCTTTTACTTTTTTTACAATCTTCATTGTGATTCTTATCAATATCGTTATTCTTATCATTACCTTCCATTCGTAATTATGAATAATGCTAGCAATATCAATATCATTATTATCATTAATACCTTCATCATTATTATTATTATCATGATCATTGTTACTATTCTCATTCTCATTATTAGTATCACTATTTTTACTAATATAATTTTTAATAGTTATCATTATCATCATTATTTTCATTATGAATATCTATTAGCACTATCATTATTATCATCGATATCATTGCTATGAATATCATTATTGCATCGTTATCATCATTATCATCACCATAACCAATTATCAGTGTTATGTCACTATCATTGTGAAAGTATTGACAATAAATGTCATAACTTTTTGCTTATAATCATCATTCTCATTATGATAATGATTACTGCTAGTTCTTTCAATGCCGATAATAACATATTTTCGAAAGCTATTTTCACAGCTAAATGATATTCTTAGTACTATTATTATCATTATTGCAATTATTGATCTTACTCTCATTCATTATTATCAATGCTATCACCATCATTCTTCTTATTATTATCCTTATTACTATTATCATAAATGGCATTATCATTATTATTAATATCATTATAACCATTATTACTAGTGCTATTATCATTATCACTACATTTTTTCTATTATCATTATTTTACTATT